TTTGAATACTGAACTATAAAACTGAAAATAGACACTTCTGTAAAATGGGTTACTATTGAGTTATAATGACAGACAATATTTAGTCAATAAACCACACATTTTGGTTGAAAATGTAACAAAACAGGATTTTATTGAAAGCGCCATTCAACCAAGCCAAACTAACTCAGTAAGATACATAGAGAAGATAAATGTGCTGTATAGTATTCAATAAAAAGGGCTTTAAAAATGTGCAATTTCAGAAATGTCAAAGTAAAGGCTATTATCTTATAGAATAGCTAAACATATTTAATCAGTAGGAACTCATTATATGGTGCCATCAATTCTAAATATATTGTTTTTGATATATTCAGGAAATTGTTTCAACAAAAATTATTATATTTGGTGCAAAGCACATGCCATTATAAATAAAATAATTAGATCACTCTAGAGTGAAAATGAATCCAATTCCTCAATTCAACAGACACTGACTGAAAACTTACTATGTTCTTATAACTAGACAGTTAAAAACAAACATGAAGGAGAGTGAGGTGCTTTAACTAAATAAATAGGGAAGTCAACCAATGTTTACTCAAGGATTAGAAAATTCTAGTATTTCCATTATTATCCAAGGACAGTCAATAAAGAGTTCACTTTCTTAATTTGCCCCAGAAGGAAGACACTTCTGTCCTCAGAGCTAGAACTGAAAAATAAGATAAAATAACTCTTGGGTTCATAGAACATTTAAACAACTCAAAATGCCTTTAGAATGATCAGCACATTTAATCTATCATTAATGCAATTAGATAAGGAAAGATTTATCTTCTAATTCAGTATTTCCCAAAGGATGTTCCATTTCACTGTGGTCCCTTCAGGATGCTCTTTGAAAAGGGATTAGGCCAGTATTTCCAGAGATGCTGCATTCCATGTTATATTTCCCCTCTTGGGTATTTGATATTAAAAGTTCAGAAAATTCCTGCAGTCAATACGACTGTTTCTTTTGCCTTAACCCAGAGTGTCCCAAATTCTGGAACTCACTTCTCATTGGAACACTGCAAGGACACCAAACTCTCTTGATTTTTTGCTGCCTTTCTGGTTATTCCTTCTCAGTCTTCTACTGATTCCTCCTCTTCTGACCTCCTAACTTGAAATGTCCCAGAAATCAGTCCTTGTTTCTCTTTTCTTCTGTATCTATCCACTCTCACTTGGTAATTTCCTACAGTCAAATGATTTTAAATAACATTTGATGCCTACAACTCTCAAATTTATATTTCCAGTCTAAATCATGCTCCTGAACTCTAAACCCAAATAATGAATTTCTACAGATTTCTTTTTTTCAGAAAGAAACCAAAGTATTGCTCTTCCTCATCAAAGCTATTCTATGTGTAGTCTTCCCATGCACTTGGAACAAATTCCATTCCTCTAGTGCTCCTGCTAAAAACCTTAAAGTTATCCTTTACTCTTCTCTCTCATACCCAACATTTAATCCACAGGAAACCTCATGGGCTCAACCTTCAAAATATATCCAGAAGGCAAACACTTCCTACCACTTCCCGTGCTCATCCTTGCTCAAACTGTCATCTTCTATCACCTGGCTTACTGTAGTGATCTCACTCTCCCATCCTTACTCCCCTTAAGAATATTCTCAACACAGTTACCACAGCAAGCCACTTAAATCAAAAGTCAGAACATGTCATTCCTGTTAATACCTTCATTTTACCCAAAGAGGAGCCTAATTTTTAATTATGAGCCACAAGACCCTATGAATTGGTTTGCCATTACTTCTTCAACCTCGCTCCCCATACTCTTGCTGTCCCCTCCACTCAGACTTCCTTATTGTACTTTGAACAGTCCAAACATTTTCCTACCTTATAGACTGTGCAATGGATGCTCTCTCTGGAATGCTCTTTCTATAGGAATTGAGTGACTTTCTAGCTCCATTTCAAGCTTTTGTTCAAATGGCACCTTCTCAGTGATGCTTATCCTAACTTGCATAATGTTGTGTTCCAACCTCCAATTCCCAATCTTTACCCTGCTCTGTTTCTACTCCTTAGCAATTATCATCTTCTGATATAATAGATAATTTACTTACTTATTAACTGCCACTCACCACAGAATATAACCTCTAAGGAAGATTTTTTGTTAGTTTTATTCATTGATGTATTCCAAGTATCTAGAAATGTGCCTGACACATAGTAGGCACTCATAAAATATTGCCTGAATGAATAAATAAAACATACTTATCCACTGACAGTAAAGAATTAGTTTGTAATACTTAATATTTATCACATTTTCCTTGGTATTTTGACCAAAATTCAACCGAGGTGAAAAAAGACATTAGAAGAATGACATTTACTAACAGAAATGATTATATTATCTGTCTCTACAATTGTTTTAAATTTCTCTAAATTAATGGATGGGCTTTCATTCTGATTGAATTATACAGTCAAAATAAACATTAATACACCTAAGAAACTAACTATACAATCCTATCCCTAATTACCCACCTAACTCACCATCAAATTTTTGTAAAAGTACACAATCCATGGCCCATTGCAGTGGTAAGCTCCTTAAAGCACTGTTCTACAGAAGCATTTTACCACTGAAGAGTCAGTGTTTTGGTTAATACTGCCATTATTTAGAATCATGTACAACAGCTCATTGTCTCTCTTACACTTATATAATACATAGACCAAGTTTCATTTTTTTCCATGATATCATAGTTTAATTTTTAGTTCTTCTAATTCTTCTAGTATTCAACTACCATTTTCCTTGTTGATATTTTACACCATTTAAAAGGATGAAATTTATAAAGAGGAAATAGCAAAATAGAACTGCTTCTGCTAATTTCAGGCTTTACTTATAATACTATTAATAAAACAATGCTTCAACAACCATTTGGGAAAAAATCATTTAAAGCTTTAATATTTTTATTGTTTTTTTAAAAATTGAAAAGTAACATTCTAATTAGTAATTGAAAAGATTGTATTATGCAACACCTTCATTGACACGTGGGAATATTAGGTTTTAAGAACTATGTATTGTAAATATTTCTTCTTGTTTGATAAAACATATTTTAAAGCCTCTTTAATTGGCATTGATTTGGGAAGTGCCCAGTTTGATATATAAAATGTTATATTACTACTTGTAACCACATATATTGTAGTATTCCTTTGTAAAATCCTTAAAGATTTAGTAGAAGCATTGCTTCAATGAATAGGTAAGATACATTTAAAATTAGAATTTAAAGTATTTTTAAATAATAGGATAAAATGAAATTGTATGACATCACTTTATAAAAACTTACAAGGTATTATCATCATTTAATAAATGGATATAAGAGAAAGTTTGAAAGTACCAGAAAAGTCTGTTTTCTTGAACATTGTACATTCTCTCTGAAACAATATTTATTCATTTGTTGAAAAAGTTCAATTATGAAAGGTAAAACTCCAAATGATCATGTTCCTGATGAAATAAAAATGACGTGTTTATTTTAAATTTCAAAGTCTAGTGTCTAGTCATAATTATCAAATGGGGATATCCTATCACCTAGTGACTTGAATAACTCTCTTTTATTCTATCACAATAATAATGCCAATATGGATCATCTGCACACAGAATTACATTAGATAGCCAGTTTTAACATACCTGCCACTAAATCAAATATGAAATGACCAATTGCCCACCCACAGGGAGACAAGGAAATATTATAAACCAAACTCAGAGAACAAGTGATTTCCTAGCTAAGGTTTTCAAAAGCCAAGTAAAAGAAAAATAACTTCAGAAGTTCCTCTGAAAGAATGCGTAGCCTCGTAGTTATCAAGTGTCATAAAGCAAGAAAGGGAATCTAGCAGGGTCCTAGATACATATGGTAAGATCCTTGTCATCTGATAGGGCAGTAAAAAAGAACAAGAAATTTTAATTCATAATTCACAATATAATATGCAGATTAGCATAGCTCAGTAACAAAAATAGGAATAATCACATTTAAATAGTTCACATTCAATTTCCACATTTTCAAATGCAGTGTATAGATTTAACAATCAAACTGTACTATTTAAAACCACATAAACTAAAGATTACTAAAATATCAGCTAAGGCATCATTAACTATAATAGTTCTATTTAAGTACTACATCTATAGCTACCCAAGAAAAGGCCAGCCAAGAATACAGCTCAGGCTTCTTCATCCTTGGCACTACTGACATTCTGAACTGGATAGTTTTTTGTTGTGAGTATGAAGGGAAGGGCTATCCTGTGCACTGTAGAAGGTTTGGCAGTATCACTGACCTCTACCCACTGGATACCCAGAGCACCCACCAACTGTGACAACCAAAAATGTCTGGAGACATTTCCAAATGTCCCCTGGGGGGCAAAACTGCCTCTTGATGAGACCCAACAATATAAGACAGAAGGAAGGAAGGAAGAAAGGGAGGGAGAGAGGGGGCCAGGGAGGAAGGATGGGAAAGAGAGAGTATTTATACTAGGCATTCTTATTTAATGAAACTATATAAAATAAAGTTGAATTTCTAGTTGGTGGATTTTAATGTGTTTATTGCAACTCAAGGATATTTGTAAGAAAAAAATCATTTTTGAACAAAATAATTTTTTTGTGTGAAAACAATAAACACATCATTAATCTCAGGTAAATAAGATTAATAAGATTCTACTGTTCTTAATAAGAGAAAAAAAATCCATAAATAGCTTTCTCCTTATTTATTTCTATCTTAAGAATAACACCCTACCTTCCTGCTGTCTCCCAGAAATAAAAACAATTGCAGTCTTTGTTTTCAGTTTTGAAGGCAAGAGAACTTTTTTCCTCTGACTCTACAGGTACCTCCTGAAAGCGCTTTCCAGGTGACCTGAGGTGACTGGCAGTCTACTTTGCATTTACAAACAAGTTTAATAGGACCTGCATATTAACAAGAGTAATACCTTGTTACAGCAAACCAGAATTAAATTTGCATTCACTTATTTCCTAGATACTACTCTTTCAAGTTCTCATTTGATTACTCTTTGGCTTACCATAGAAGTAACTGATCTTGCATCTTCTTCATAATTGACTACAGGAGGTGGCTCTTTCCCATCATTTTCTTGTACTTTCTGCTCTAGTATTTCTTTTTGTGCTGTAAACTTTGCCTCAGTGCATCTCAGCTGCTGCACTGACTGTTTCAGCTCTTCAAGTGTCTGTTTTTGGCTTAACAAAAGCACAACACTAAAAGAGAACACATTAAATATAAATTATTTCAACTTCTTTAAGAAACAAAGACTTTATAGGAACCTATATACATATAGCTATATATATGTCTATTACGTTGTTTTCTCTTATTTCATCTTTATGAGTCCTTCAGAATCATAAAAATTATGAAACTAAACAGATTTTGAACCATACAATAGTTGTTAAATATTAGCATTAACAAAATGGAAGGAAATGTTTAAAAGCAAAAATCAAATTCAAGATGTTTTAAAAAATATGATCTATGGCATTTGTTTTATTTTACAGCTGAAACTTCTACCTCATAGAGTACTCTCACTTAGGTCCAGAGAGTAGGGCCTAAAATGTTTAATATGACTGAAGCTGGATCTTAATTTATTTCAAATCTCAAATGGAATATACTAGAGTCAGATCTTTGCCTGGGGTAAAATGAATCAAATCAAGGTAACAGCTTGGGACCAAGATGTGTGTATATTGTGAAAGATGTGTGTTTAGAGTTGGGAAAAGATTTTCTGACAAGGACTGAGGACTGAGATGTCACTGAGAGAATTAGCATACGTAAGTACCAAATCTTTCCAATATTCCCTGTAAAGGCAGTAGCATTCCCCATTTATCTTTTAGAGAATGACATAGGCCACGTGTTGCCTAAATGTGACTTTTTATCTCTTAGACGCTGCCCCTAATGGGAATTTCAGACTAATTCACCCACTTTAAAGCCATAAGAAAACAGGAAATGGTGGTGGGGAACACATCTGGAAACACTGTCACACAGAGTACATTACCTTAAAGAACTGCGCCATGCACTACTGAAAGTTACTTATATGTAACAGACAACAGACTGTCAATCAGAGAAAGCTACAGAGCTGGAGAATAGGTCAGAAAATGTTTCCCTTCTTAAATTGGAACTTATAAGGATCAACATAAACTGAATAAGTAATCACGGGCAGGAGGAACCCACAGACTAAGAGAGATTTGTTTATAAAATGATGCTGTTTAATAGTTTGAAAACTCAGTTCTAATCAAATTGAACAGGGTACAGTCTCAAAAATGCTATAAAGAAACTTGCAATCTCCTCATTATATTGCAATGAGTTTCAGGTGAGTATCATAACAAAAAGAGAACTTCAGCAGAGAACTGAGCAAAATTTGGGAAAAATAGAACTAATGAGTAAGTGTATTTGTATGAGAAAACTAGCAATGTTCAAAAGACAAACCTCTCTAACCAGTGCAGTTAATAGCAAAGGTAATGGAGAGGGATATGCCATACTGTTAGAAATCATTAACACTTCCCAAGTAAAATCATCATGACATAGTGGAAAGAGTGTAATTACACTGAACTAGGACAGATTCAACTTCATGACTTAGTCACTTCCCTTTTCTCATCCAGTTTTATCATTAGAAAAATTGATAATAATACCTATTATCAGGATTATTCTGAGTTCAATGAGGTATATGTAAAATTGTTAGCACAGTGCCTACCATAAAGTAAGAATTCTATGAATGGTAGCTGACATACATATATATATGTATATATATATACCATCATCATTCAACAATCTGTGACCTGTGCTTCAAATCCATACAGACTTCCTGATAAATTCATGCTGGTTTGCTTATTAGGTAGTAACTCCTTTTTCATAACAAATAGGTAATAATTTTTTTTCTCAGTGACTCCATTCAGAGAAAGTTTTTTTCTAAAACAATCACTTTCGTGAACATAAATTTGTAAGGACCAGGTCCTAGAAGAGATTAAACTCATATGAACCTAAAGCTTCTGGAGGGTTCTCTCTTTGCATTTCCTAGCTACCAAAAGAATCCCAACAGTAACAACAGTATAAGGAACAATTTAAAATGTACAATGTAAGGTGGCAAAAACATGGTTTCATGTACATCTGCAAAACTAGTCCCAAAAAAGGTGAACAATTTCATAAATGTGGGCAAAATCAATATGAAAGTATACTTGAAAATAATAACACTCTGAAACCATTACCACTACCAGTAGCCCTTTGTAAACAAATTCATAAAACCAATGGGAAAAAATGCAAAGTAAGAATAAAATAATTAAAAGAATGAATATAAGGTTTTCAAAATGAAATACAAAATGACAAGGAATAACAGTTGTAAAATATTAGCTGAATATCTGAAAAAATACAGAAGAATCTATTTCTAGGAGTGAAAAAACACGCATTTTATTCTGTCTCCCACTGTATGTTAGTCTGAAAAATGTTCCTCCAAAGATAACCCATCCTTATTCCCAAAACCTCTGAATATGTTACTTTACATGGCAAAAGGGAATTTTCTGATATGATTAAGTCAAGAATGTTGGGATGGGGAGATTAAACAGGTAGGCAAAATATAATCACAAGCATTTGAAGAGAGAGAAAAGCAGGAGGGACAATGTCTGAAAAGAAGATGTGACAATGGGAAAAGAGCAAAAAAAGGCAACATGATGCGGGGCCAAGAAGCAAGCTGCTAAAAGTTGGAAAGAGCAGAGAAGCAAATTCTTCCCAAGAGTCTCTAGAAGAAATCAGCCTTATCAAGACCTTAGTTTTAGGCCCACAGGACTCATTTCCAATATATGATCTCCAGAAATATAAGAGAAAAAAATCTGTGTTAAGTTACCAAGGTTGTAGCAATTTGTTACAGCAGCAAGAGTAAACAAATATAAACCCATTTGGGGTCCATTTTAAATGGTTAAACTGGAAGGGTTGTCTGGGCAGTGGCCAGTAACAACTACAACTATAGATCTATGAGAAAAAAATTAAAGAGTTGGAAGAATTACTGAACCAGAAAAAAGACTGTGACTTAAATAAAGGATGTGAGTAAAATTAAGTTTAGCCTTATCAAATACTAAACAAATAATGAAAGGATTAAACCATTATGTAAAGTATTAATATTTAAGATTTTAAGTCATATATATTATTTAGTTTATAGTAAGAGCTCAATTTTAATCATTACTTCTTGTGGTAATTACAACTCTACCATTATTTCACCTTTATTTTAACCTGGATGATAAGTGGGATCTTCCAAAATGATCAACACAACAAAGGGAGAAAAAGTACATATTTTCAATGAATGGTTTAAGAACAACTAGACACCAGCATGCAAAAAATGAATTGAGACACAGACTTCACACCATTCATAAAAATTAATTCAAAATCACAGACCCAAATGTAAAACTTAAACTATAAAACTCCTAGAAAATAACATGGTAGAAAATCTAGATAACCTTGGGTATAGTAATGGCTTTTTTAAATAGAATACTAAAGGCATGATCCATGAAAGAAATAATTGGTGAGCCGGACTTCATCAAAATTAAAACTTCTCTGTGAAAAACAACAGCAAGAGAACTAGATGACAAGCCACAGATGGGGGAAAGACTTGCAAAAGACATATCTGATAAAGGACTGTTACTCAAAATACACAGCATTTGTTAAATGCCACTAATAAGAAAACAAAAAAGCAGATTAAAAAATGGACCAAGACCTTAATAGACACTTTACCAAAGAAGATATACAGATGACAAATAAGCACATTAAGAGATGTCCCCCCATAACAGGTAATCAGGGAAATGCAAATTAAAGCAACAATGAGATAACCCTATACATTTCTGAGAACTGCCAAACTCCAAAACATTGACAAAAGCTAATGCTGGCAAGGAGGTAGAGAAACAACAACACTCATTCATTGGTGATGGGAATAAAAAATGATACAGCAACTTTGGAGGACAGTTTGGCTGTTTCTGATGAAGTTAAACATACTCTTCCCATATGACCCAGTTATTACAGTCCTTGGTATTTACTCAAAGGAATTGAAAATATGCCCAAACAAAAGCCCACACATGGATATTTATAACTGCTTTCTTCACAACTGCCAAAACTTGGAAGCAACCAAGATGTCCTTTAGTAGGCGAGTGGATAAATAAACTGTGGTATATCCAGACAATGGAATATTATTCTGTGTATAAAAGAAACAAGCTACTCATATATGGTCAATTAATATATGATACAGGAGCCTTGGATATACAATGGGGAAATGACAGCCTCTTCAACAGCTGGGGTTGGTAAAACTGGACAGCTATATGTAAGAGAATGAAACTGGATTACTGTCTAACCCCATACACAAAAGTAAACTCAAAATGGATCAAAGACCTGAATGTAAGTCTTGAAACCATAAAACTCTTAGAAAAAAATATATCAAAAATCTCTTGGACATAAACATGAGCAACTTCTTCATGAACGTATCTACCCTGACAATGGAAAATGATGCAAAAATGAACAAGTGGAACTATATCAAACTAAAAATCTTCTGTACAGCCAAGGACACCATCAGTAAAACAAAAAGACATCCTACAGTATGGGAGAATATATTCATAAATGACATATCTGATAAGGGTTGACATCCAAATTACATAAAGAGCTCACATACCTCAATAAACAAAAAGCAAATAAGCCAATTAAAAAATGGGCTGAGGAGCTGAACAGCCACTTCTCCAAAGAAAAAATTCAGATGGCCAACAGGCACATGAAAAGATGCTCCACATTGCTAATCATCAGAGAAATGCAAATTAAAACCAGAACAAGATATCATCTCACACCAATTAGGATGGCCAACATCCAAAAGACAAACAACTACAAATGTTGGCGAGGATGTGGAGAAAGGGGAACCCTTCTGCACTGCTGGTGGGAATGTAAACTAGTTCAACCATTGTGGAAAGCAGTGTGGAGGTTCCTCAAAAAACTCAAAATAGAGACACCATTTGACCCAGGAATTCCACTCCTAAGAATTTACCCTAAGAATGCAGGAGCCCAGTTTGAAAAAGATATATGCACCCCTATGTTTATCGCACCACTATTTATAATAGGCAAGAAATGGAAGCAACCTAAGTGTTCATCAATAGATGAATGGATAAAGAAGAGGTGGTACATATACACAACGGAATATTATTCAGCCATAAGAAGAAAACAAATACTACCATTTGCAACAACATGGATGGAGCTA